GACAGGGGGTTCCGACGGGTATTATTTTGCGGATGTCAGATACGGGATCGAACTCCGTTCAGGCTAAACTGGCCTGGAACAAATGAATTGTTAGCTTCCTTAAGGGCTAGCCTTATAAGACCTTATTTAGGTTAAGTATTCGGGTAGATACCGAACCAAAAGTCGTGTACATGGCGCATTCCAGAGCGTAACCAATGTGTAGCGTGCAGTGAACTCACATTTGCGATTCCAGGATGTTCAAGTGCAGCTACGCTGTCTGACCCACAACTGATTGGCTTTCGACCAAACACCGTTGGAGCAGCTCTACGGGATGGTTATTCCTACTATGTCACGGAGTTCAACATCGGCTACAGCATCCTTTCTGTGATTTCCTTCTTTTGTGTACTGCATCTACGATTTCCACAGATGACTCGTCCATTCCAGTTCCCATCTGGGCGATCTCTGAATAATTCGGAGCCGAAGTCAATATTTACGCTACCGTATCCATTCCATGGTACCGATAATACCGTTTACAATCGAACTGCTTACTACAATTACGATATGGATGTGATTTCATTCAATATGAGAACTGAATACACGAAAGTTCTTCGGTTGAATATCTCGAAGGTGAGTGTCCAGTGGACTAAGGCCGGAGGGCAGTCATTAGGTAACGTGGGAGGTTTAGGAGCCTTTGTATAACAACTCCAGCAGCTCCCGCATGGACATACAAGCTGATGAGCATGGTCTTTGGGTTATGTATCGAAGAAATGGTGAAAAGTACTTGACAGTTAGTCGTATCCAACCCATCAGTTTGAAGGTCAGCTTGATTTTTATGGAAATTTCGTGGAATCTTATGCAAATTGTGTAATTACGAACGATTTTGAACCGAAGCGAATTTACCTAAACGTTCTGAGAATATTTAGGTTCTATCCACTTGGCCATTGCAAGCTATTCTTCCTGAATATTTATGCAACGCATTCATCCGGTGTGGATTACTGTATACCGTAACGTGTGGCGTCAAGCATGTGACAGTGTCTGCGGATTACGACTTTTACGAACAGATGTACGTTAGCAGCATACCGAACGAATGGAGCGGTAAGGAACTTAGCCTGATTACAAATCTACGAGAGAAAATGGGTTTACAGTAACCAAGAGGTGTCCTGAAAAGAAGGGATTCTAGGTCTATAGATCTCAGCCATAATCTGCCAGTGTAGCAACCAAACCAAAAGAACCTAACAAGGGAAGGATCCCAAGTCGAAGTGGCCATATGAAATGGGACCTATACTGCTGGTGGTACTTTTTGATGCTGATTTCAAATCTGCATTAAATCTGCAAGCGATTGTCTGAACGAAGTTATGGAGGTGGTCTCCGGGGAGCGCTCAACAGGGGAAAGCACAAAAGCCATGGTTGCCGGCAGCCCAGCAGTGGCCGAAGTTGTTTTCAAATCTGCATTCAAAATCTGCAAGCGATTCTCTGAACGAAGTTATGGAGGTGGTCTCCGGGGAGCGCTCAACAGGGGAAAGCACAAAAGCCATGGTTGCCGGCAGCCCAGCAGTGGCCGAAGTTATCAAATCTGCAATCAAAATCTGCCAAACGATTCTCTGAACGAAGTTGTGGAGGTGGTCTCGGAGAGCGCTCAACAGGAGAAAGCACAAAAGCCATGGTCACCGGCAGCCCAGCAGTGGCGGCTTGGGGAAAGCACAAAAGCCATGGTCGCCGCCAGCCTAGCAGTGGCGGCTTGGNTCCCAAGTCAAAGTGACCATTTGAAATGAGACCCACACGTGCTAGACGTATTTTTTGATGCTGATTTTAAATCTACACTCAAAATCTGCCAAACGATTCTCTGAACGAAGTTATGGAGGTGGTCTCGCGCTCAAGAGGGGAAAGCACAAAAGCCATGGCCGCCGGCAACTTCGGAGTGGCGGCTTGGAATGGAGGTAAGCGTGACGCTTCACAAGCACGGGACCAAAGGTCGGGTTTGGTGGGCGGCGACAATTTTGCATCTTGCAGAACTTTTTCCTCAAGGTTGTAAAAATCCTCCTATGTAAATTTTACCGCCTTCAGCGACTTTTTAGTGGCTGGAGGCGAGTCAATTTCTGGTTAAACCGTCTTCCACTGTTATCGATTGGTTTCTGAAGAAGGTGGGGGATTGTGGTCAGTTTTCAATAAAGGTAAGGGTTGCCATGTNAAAAAAAGCTAAAGAGACTTTCGATGTGGAGTCAATAGCCTGCATAGAATACATATTTCAAATATATTTCGTTCGTCCAGGGTTGCAAGTTGGAATGGGCGGATATTCCAAGGCTGGAATCTATTTTGCCGGCTTCAAAGTAGTGAAGATTGTGATCCTACATTCATAAAAGACTTTAGCGGGGTTCAGGAAACGCCATTGAGGCCACTGTAATGAATCTAGGTCACCGAATAGGGCGATCTCAGGTCTACACGCTGAGAACCTTACAAACTCCAGAAAGACGTTGAGCAATCAGAGCTGTCATAACGTTTTGATTCGAGGTTGCACTTCTCGCTTCTACTTTCTCTTTTTTCGCACGTTTTTGTTGTTTTCCTTCTTTTCATCTGCTAGGGGAGGAGAAAAAGTCCAAAAAACACAGTGTGATGGAAAGAAAAAGGAACAGAACTCTGCTTTCACAGAAAAAATTGCTTCTCCAGTGCTTTCCGGAACATCATAAACGATAGGAAGGGCCCTGGCAGGGACGCCCAACTGAGATGACAGCGCAAGACGACTTGTCTTCAATTCGTTATCTGCAGTGACCTCTTTGGCCCACACACAGGGGCCCAAAAATTTTCTCAGTGAATTCACAGTTCAATGCGTCAAGCTGTTTGATGTACCCTACTTTTAATGTGGCCGCAAAAGCCGTATTCAAGAATTTGAACTAGTTGATGGGGGTCTCTAACTGACAAGGGAAGGATCCCAAGTCGAAGTGGCCATTTGAAAGGGAACCTATACTGCTAGGCGTAATTTTTGATGCTGATTTCAAATCTGCATTCAAAATCTGCCAAACGATTCTCTGAGAGAAGTTATGGAGATGGTCTCCAAGGAACGCACAAAAGGGGAAGCAGAAAAGCCATGGTCGCCGGCAGCCCAGCAGTGGCGGCTTGGGCTGGAAGTAAGCGTGATGCTTCATAGGCATGGGACCAAGGATCGAGTTTGGTGGGCGGCGGAGTTTTTGCGTCTTATAGGACTTTTCCNGTTGAGCGCTCTCCGGAGACCACCTCCATGACTTCGTTCAGAGAATCGTTTGGCAGATTTTGAATGCAGATTTGAAATCAGCATCAAAAAATACCCCCAGCAGAATAGGTTCCATTTCAAATGGCCACTTCGACTTGGGATCCTTCCCTTGTAAGTACTATGGGATGCGCCATGTATTTCTCTTGCATAGCGTGTTGTAGAGAATATTCTATTCATGTTCTACCCGAACAACAGCTGATAGGGTAAGCTGTTTTCTAAGTCAGCTCATCCATCGTCTTAGGTAGAACTGGCGCTGATCAAATAACCCGACGGCATAGAAGCTGGACTGGAGTGGGCAGGTTCAGGTCGACGATAACTCATCAGCTCGTATCCTCTGCCTTTATCCCACCAAACCTGGCTCTATAAAGACTTATAGAAGCATGAAAAACGGCTATGGAGACAGATTATGTTCATGGTCCTGACCATCAGATCAAACTCATGTCCAACAGTCCTCTATGACTTTCAGCAAAAGACAATAACCCATCGTTCAGCAATTCCTGTACCGTCAATTGCCACACATCCTCTGGAAGACGATAATTGGCATCAGATTCGTCTAGGAGGATAGAAATACTAACTTGTACATCGTTTTGACCCTGTACTTCGTTGTTCAAGCCCAATACTCATGCAACACCCCTACACTTTTCATTGGAAGTGGAGTCTCTAGGTTATCTTAAAATGGGATTCAATAACTCTAAAGACATTTCGCCTTATCTCGACCTAGTAAAATATATCAGTAAGAACTAGGGCAGCCGAGCTTGGAGCTTTCTCTCCCCGAGGTGTCTGAAAGAGTGTGAGTTCTCAAAATGAGGATATTTTATATTTTCTTAGGCACTGTTCTTTTGGAACGACACCATTCAGAAAAGTGGCAGTAACTACGGCGAAAATCTCTCAGTTCAGTGCAGTCAAATACGGGAATCGTTGGAGAAACCTCACCGATATCGAAAGTTAGAATAGCCGGTTAAAGAAGTTGGTTAAAGCACAGTCCACGATATTTCTAGGGTACTTAGGTCAAGTGAATTAATGATAACGTAGTGTAGAATAGCGTAAAATGGCCAAGAGAGCGCGAAAGTTTGAGGATTTCAAAAAGTGCATGGCTTCAAACAAAGTAGTAGGAAAGGTAGCTGCCGAGACTATGGGTCTACATCCGTCTGGGTATCTCTCACATAAGCTTACTATTCGTCGGCGTCCTGACGCTCCATTCTGAATGGGACAGCTTTGACAGTCCATGTGTACGTCGGCCAAGCCGGTTTGGGAGACCTCAAAACGATCTGTCGAGGTCGTTTTTCGTCCCGGCTATGTCCCTCTCTATTCTTAAAGGTCACAGATTCATAATAAGAGGGAAACCTAGAAACCATTTGTAAAATTGCTGTGCCTGTAACCCGACTGGNTATGTCCCTCTCTATTCTTAAGCGTCACAGATTCATAATAGGAGGGAATCTTAGAAACCATTTTTAAAATTACTGTGCCTGTAACCCGACTGGATCCTGCCCAGAAATTAAACTTTGTATTGTTCATTTTCAGGCATGACAAGCCTCTCTAGTGTGCAATACGACCCAAATTCAAAGACTATCACCATTTTCGACACCGGCAAGGTCTATAGTGTGACGGCGAGCTGAATGGTGTCAAAAAAGACCAACGGCCATCCACAACTACTTCTCTTGCATTTCATAACTCACAAAATAGCTTCCCACTATCTGGACTAGTTACTGTCTTCTCGACAGGAATACCATAACTGAGACTCTCCAGCCAAGACGCGTGCGGTTGCGTCACAGCACAAGATATTGCAAGAACATTACTACGATGTCGTACATAAACCCGATAAGGATGATCTTACGAGTGAGCCATCATGCTCAATAGTGCTGATTTACCCACCAAGGAACGATTTACTCTTTTACCAGTAGCTGTCCTCAACTCTGATAAGCTCCGGCTTTAGCCAAACTGCTTTCGGTTTTTACGAGGCATTTCATAGCTAATCGTTTTACTGATTCGACAAAGAACAAGATACAGTCGATCAATAAATCGATAGTCTTACTTCTGTGGCCACCATAGAATCGACAATTTCTTTCCATTCGATTCTGTGATATTTCTGTTCAGTTTTAATTTGCCTGCTGTACATGTCTTACTTTGTTTATTATTTATTTATATTTATGGGTCTGTAACTTATCGAATAAATATCGATTGTCTACTGATCCCGCTCAACAACTTATGATAGGTATTGTGATCGCTGTTGCGGCCATAATACTTAATCGCAACCAGTTCTCGTCGAGATATAGTACAGCTTTTTGTTATTCACCACGGCCATTATATCGTATGTCCGTTAGCTCATCATCAGCATTATTGATCGTTCTGGTATCGATAATCGATCGATACCGGGCGCAGGTTCCACTTGCTCAATATCAATGCGGTACCGATCTCACAACTCGATTCCTATCCAACCTGATGACGTCATCATGCGATCAGATCGGAAGTGAGTTGTTTTTCAGTGTGTTCTTTACATTAATCCGAGTTTCCCACCTCAACCCAACTGTTAGGAGTTGGACTTGTACAAATTACTCGTAATAAATGTGTGCGGTTGCAATGCGGTCAGCTTAACTTTCAACTAATTCAAAAACGACCTGATTTTTCTTCCAATAAAGAAGTTTTGCCAGTTTTTCTAATTGCTTTAAATCCTATTCACATACTATAGAAACCAACCAACAATGAAATCACGATTGTCAGTCATCATAGAGCTTCACCAAGGATCGATCAGGGATCCCTCCTCGAGGAACCCCTAAAGTTACAAACAGGATGATTTCCCTCCAGTCAACTCAATACTCAAGCTATCTAGAAGTTTTTATCGCTAAGAACACCTCAAAAGGATGGAACAGGCGATAATCAGAGTCACGTCAGGACGACAGAAACGGAAGGGGTACTGTGCCACATGCTAGCCCATCAGCTTTTTGGTGAGTCCCCAAGGTTTTATAAGAACAAATGCGCTAAAATTCACCTTGACATTTCCTGAAAAGATCAAATAACAGAGGTGTCCATTTGGGAGCGGACAGTAGAGCAGCACTCTCCTCTGATAGCAGAAACCGAAGAGTATAGTGTTCCTAGATGAGGGGCATGTTAGATTCGGTTTTATAACCGACAGAAGGATGACCGGATGTTCAGCGTGTTATACGTCAAGAAGAGAGGAACCCACTGAGTCAGCATATCCCTATAGCGGAGAACACAGAGGACCACTGGCTGCTCGAATCTGAGCCTCCCTTAAGAGTTGTGAGGTCTTTTCCCACAGTTGAGAACAGCGAAGTCCAGCAAAGGAAGCATTTCAAGAGAAGCTCGTCTACGAAGATTGTGACCACTCTTGCTAAGCCAACAGAACAAGGGTGGACGGTTTTTTGGTAATGGTGCTCTTTGTCAATGCACTATACTGTGCGGACCCTTGCCATCGCTCCAACACCATTCTAGACTGTGATGATTTCAAGAGCGTTCACAACTACCCCTTGCTCAATCTTCTCGCTAGCATGACAAGACTTTCTTATCAGCTTAGTAGGAACGAATACTCTTTGTATATGATTGAAGTCGCGTTGTAAACCAAGGGTATAGCTGATTTTCAGGAACCGGAAACAAGGACCTCATGAGTCCTTGTTTCCGGTTCCCGAAAAACTGGACAATGTGGTCGACCACTCCCGATCCGATCAATGGGGATCAGCTCTTTGTAATTCGGTTTTTTCCACCAAAATTACACGTATGTCACAATATAGGTCATCAACGCGTGCAGATGAGAAGTGACCAGTTTAGTAAGATGTTGAAACGCACTGAAAATCGCATTCATCCCCTTGAATCGTTTGCAGCTCTCGGCTCTAGCCATAGAGCACAAAAGTGAACTAGTCGCATGGCGGCCGCACGCATCCAGTCCTAACAGTCTCGCACACTTAATGCAAATGATGTTTTTTTTTTCTATTCAGTCAATGTGTGCTGTATTCATCACGACGAATGCTACTCGTCTTGCGCAGAAACACAGCTATCCTGTGATGCCACTTTCTGTGACTGCATCGCCACTCTCGATGCGAGTATCTACTGCCGAAATGTCGTCTACGCATGGCACTGCAATGCTGTTCAATGGCTCGGAGATCGTTTTATCTGTCCACTGATGAGTCAACCACTTTTTGGGGGTTAAGTTCGATAGATCGATCGCATAGTAATTGCAGTTAGTTATAACACATTAGTACTATATTTTTGCTATATAATATTAATATTATATAGTCAACCAGATCTCAAAAAATATACTCAAAATGTATTGTTTATAATGCATTCAGTCTTGCAAAAAATCGCTCCTTTGGCCAGCTCATAGCTTTGAATTTACGGCAATCTCCGGTGATTTTTACAAACCAAGTCCTGAAGATAAAGCTACATTAGTATCGTTATGAGGATAGAATTCCGTAAACTAACCCTCGCCAACCGATTTTCGAGCGCACTTGAGAAGGGAAGAGATTTTAGCGGGTTTCAAACAGTGGTCTATATCGAGCGCTAATTCTGACCTCAGAACATATACCAAATAGCAAGCTCTTCTACCTAAAGTACTAAGGAATATGATGCATAAAAGGGTCTCTGAGAAATCAGCCTACTTCCGCGCTAACCTTCCCATTCCCTTCGGTTAGAGATTGTATAGTTTCCCAGCCATTGAGTTTGAGACTTTAGCCTGACTGTTACGTTACTTAAACCCCGCGCAATAAGCTATCACCAGGTCTCATGAGGCACGAAAAGCATTACAAATCGCTTTCATAGCCTTATAATGAAGTTTAAGAGAATGTTATGGAACCCATCTTATGTTTTTACACAGGTAAAAATAAAGATTAAATTATCCAGTATTTAATTGTTTTCCTTGTCTATGCACGCTAAATAGTTCACTTTCAACCTAAACTGCTCCGAAATTTCGACTTCAACATTTCGACGAAGCAATACAAGTTAACAGGAAGACCGAAAAAACGTATAGCAAAACGTCTAATAATTATATTCGCCAAATAATAGTTGCCTTCTCGAAAAACAAGGCTTGAGAGGGGATCGCAAAAAATTCGCTACGAGAATGAGATCTTATAGCATTTATTTGTGAAATACTAGGGATAGAAAATGAAATCTGGCGTCTACACTTTTGCACTGTTATAAGTGAAATGGAAAGACCTAGAAAAGAACCCATAGAAGATAGGGAGAGATCGTGGATATGAGATCGAAAATATAACAGGTGTTACGCGTTCAGAATTGAATATTATTCCAAAACTGAAGAAGCTTTTACAGCAAGTACTGTCAAATCCTGACAACACTGTGCGAACATAGGTAGTCGGCTTTCTTGAGTATTTTCTATCTAATCATAATACCACTACATAAATCATTTACGCCAACGGAAGAGGGTTCGCCCGTCAATAAACCGTAAACATCAAAAAAGGAATAGATCAAGTGATCTGGAAGCAGAAGAAAAAACGTGGAATACATAGACAAAAACACTTAACCCACCAGCCGGATCTAATCAACTGCCGCCTTGCGACCGCGCGCATACAGGCTTCGTATTTTGTACAGAGTGGGATGTATGCTGCATATACATCATTTGAAAGCAGCAAAAACGTGTATGGACTGAAATCTGTACGTCTTGTTTGTACAAAAATATAATTTTACAAGACAGGAATGGGATAGAGATGCTCCGGCCGCAAGCGCTCCATTCATACAACGAGTACTATAGGACTTTATCGAGTCACATACAACTGGGAGCAAATGGAATGCAGACCATATGACACACTTAACTTATCAAAAACTAATCAAATTCATGGATTCATTATTAGTTCATGACGGCGAACTCTCCGTTGATCACCGTTGAAGAAAATTTTTCAATATGAAAAACAAGTCTCCGAAAAAACAAGAACTGTCAGAAACGGCCACATTCGTAATACTGACGGGCAAAAATAAGATCGCTCAAACCAGAAATGTTATGACACAAATTAAACCCAATAGAAAAACAAACAAAACAACTTTAAGACAGCTATCAACAACCCTTTAAGTTAGTACAAAACACATCACGAATTATACAAGTTGGGCGGGGACTAGTACACGAGCGGTTGCGTCGCAGTCGAACAGTGATCGACATAGTTAGAAACCTTACAGGCAAAGACAAAACCACGCACCGGGGTTGTTGGGGGAATGGTGTTCTACTACGTCATATATTGACAAGCTATACACAAACAAGCTAATTAGGGTTCTTCTTGACTACCACTCAGAGCTATCATTTCTAGCATCTTCACACATTTTTCAAACATTTCTGCCTCTTTGGCCGAAAAATGTGCAGGTGGTTTGGGTCGGATAATTTTCCTGCTCTGATTACTATGCGGCTGCACTACACCTTGTTCTTGGCCTCTCCCCTCTGCTCGCGAGACCTCTACAGGCATCACTGGTTCAGAACCCGCCTTCTTTCCTTTGACGCCGCTATTCACTCGCATATAGTACTCAGCACAGTCGACATGATCCACCGGTCCATCAACCGTCTCCCATTCGTTATCGTCCGGTGGCGTCAACTCTCGAGTGGGGGCAGGCGTCCCCGGTGGAGTTTCTACAGACCCAACCGCTCTGTTGCCTACTCCACGTAGACGAAGGCTGCGTTCGCTGAGCGGCGGTGTGGGTGACATGAGGGCGGAACGCTCCAGCTCATCAACCCATCTCTCACGACGCTGTTGTTGATGAAACCTTTGGACAGCATGAGCAGCGTTTTGAGGAGGCATTTGTTGGAATGCTTGACCCGCATTCATAGGCATCGGAAAACTCTGTGGAGGCCGCAGTGGTGTTTGTTGAGAGTACTGATATGGATGCTGAGTTGGACCAGCACGTATCGGCTGCTGAGCAGGACGGTTTATTGAAAGTGGTTGAGCCGGACGATTCAAGGATTGAGTCTGAGCGGGACGATTCAAGGGTCGAGGCTGAGCGGGACGATTCAAGGACTGAGATTGAGCAGGAGCCTGTTTAGCAGTATTAGCAACAGAAGCCAATCCCAGCATTTCATTTCTCTGTTGCAAAGCTTGTAAGTAGGCAGGAAGTTTCGTCAAAGGACCTATGTTGGGCTTGATGTTAGGCATCGGACCAGTAATACCCAGATAATTTCGATACCTATTATAGGTTGTAAGTTCAGGCTGAACGCAGCCTCGATCTTCAGTAATCAGAGGTTGTGGTCGCCCAATGAAATGCCTCGCAGGACGTTCCATTGCAGCTGTCGCCTCAGCGATAGCTGCGGCTCCCAATCGTGGCTGTAGGTCTTTCGCTTCAAGCGTCAATTTATGCGAATAGAAGATCTGAGGCTCTCGGGTATCTTTCGGCTTCATTTTACGAATGTCTTCAAGAAATTGAGCTTCGTCGATTACTTGTTTACGTGGTCGAACGGCTGTTTGAGTGGGTTTCAGTGAAATCTGTGTAATGTTAGGGGCTTCCCGAACAGCGTTTGGTCGTTCTCCATCGCCTGATATTGCTTTTGGTGAGAAGATCTTCAATGTTGCCCGAGGAACCTGAAATTTGGTTCATTTCTAAGCTGAGCACTGGTCACAAAAGAAAGAACAAATTTATAGAAACTCCAATATCAGAGGAAAACTGACCACTCTAGGCGGGAAAAACGACACGGCCTGCACCGAATTCAACACATCCTTCTCAATTATGCGATGATCACCACGTATTTTGGTTTGCATACAGATACCATCGATTATCTGGAAACAGGACTTGGTGATGGAAAAAATGTCTACTGAGTAGCGTCAAAGATTTGAAGGATAGAAAATTATCCAAACAGGATATTATTCGAACAAAAACGCTTGTTCATCTTCATTCTGTTTTGAGATCTTATGCGAATAAGGGAGAGCTTACCAAGACACTAATATATAGATATACAATTTTTGATAATGATATGACTAAGCAGAAACCATAACAGTGCGTTCCAAAGGAGCAAGGTGATTCCACTATTTAATAACGACATGATACTGCAAAAATCTGTTCTGAAAGGGTGAATGGCTAAACAACCCAAAATAGTTTTCAAACCAATGCAGGCAATATTTTTGCGTTGACAACCCTTACCGGTCTAAAATGAACCATTAAAATTGGTCAACTGCATGTAAATACACAATGAGCATTTACCTACAGGTATATCAACCTGTCACTTCTAACATACCCCCAATCCAAAAGCTCTGTTCATTAGCGAGTTACAAAAATGAGGTGCAGCTTCAGACTGTAACAATGTATTAAACAAAGAAGTACTGTTGAATTAGATCTCCGGCAAAAGAAAAAAACTCAACAGATTATCAAGTCGAACACCAAGGACAACGATCATATCTGAACGCACTAAGAAATAGAAATTTTTTAATTCGCTCAAGATGTATTGTATTTAAAATTAAAAGGAAATGAAAAGAAGTAGACTGCAGGTCTACAATGTAGAACAGATCGAAAAGAAAGAAGCGACTAACCGCGTCAACCAGATCATCCGAATAAGAAGCCATTGCCTCTTCGGCATCCAGACTCAGCTCCAGTCCACTCACGACCTTGCATAGGTCGATCATGGTTACGTGGTTTCCGTGGTGCTGCTACAGTCTATAAAGAAGCTGTTACTTATAAGTACCTTATGAAAGGGTATCGTCAGCAAACATCACCTAAAACAATCAAAGAACAGCGAAGAAGTTGAATGAGGTGTAACAACAGCAAACGAAAAAGGTAAAAGGAGTGAATCAGAATAAAAATTAGATCTGAAGAATCCCTCCTCCTCAGAAAAACCGTTCCATCATTAAGCCTCGTTCGACTTTGATCACAATTCAGTCTGCTCCTTTAGATCGAAAAACAATAATGTAAAACAGTTCAGCTTCTAACACTTTTACCTTGCTAACGCAGTTTTTTAGTTCTAATAAGATCACTACTATGGAGTGACATTCAATGGAAAGATTCAGGCGTAGAAGAGAGCTAAAACAGCTCCTTGACAAAGGAAATCCAACTTCAAACTGCGTAAAACAATAGTTTCAAATACGTACCAAAAAGAGTGGACATACTTACGAGGGTGAAAAGGAACAAGCTCTCTCGATCTCAAACGCATCTTCGGAGCTCATAGACCCCTCTCCTCCCAACCCAACTAGCGTCTTGCCTAGTTACCGTTGTAAGCTGTTAACAAGTCGCAAAGGAAAGATGAAGAAGATGAGGCAGTAAAAGGCACACTAAAAAGAACGTAGCACAACCTATCAAACAAGGAGCAGTAATTCATAGAAAATAACGATGGCAAAAGGCAAAGACTCAAAAACAAACAAACCAAGTTTTAGAAAACTTCACTTTTGAGAAAGCAAACTATCTTAACTATTACAAACAGGAAGGGCAAGCTCAGAATTTCAACAATGGAAATGATAAGCAGCATTTAATATTCCAACTTAACGTTTAGGGTAAAAATAGCGCCATTTGCCCCCTTGTGCCTAATAATACATCTTTAAAAAAGAATAGCCTGTGAGTTTTGAACAGAACGCAACTGTTAAACCATTGAAGAACTTAACATATAATACTGCGTTCCTCTTCCAAGGAGTAGCTTCTAAAGAATAAATGATCTCGAGCACGTGTAAAGGCTGAAGGTTGAGACAACAAGATCCAATTTGGAACAAGAAATAGCGTACAGGTAGTTAGCGGTTCATTTTGAAGACGACTTTTTGCCGAACCTCCCCCCAACGACCTCAACAAAGAACTCCAAATAAAACTCCAGCACTAATTAGTTCATGAAAGCATAAGAACTATTATTCTCATACAAAATTTATCAAGTAGGATCACAACACTCCAAGAAACAGGGCTAACAACAAATGAATTCCTGAGGGAATCCTTTCAAAGCAATGCAACCGCCAAAAAATAGGCGGAATAAGTTGGACGAGTTTTCTTGTCTAGTTCGACATCGTCACAGGACCAGCCGAACTTGAATCTCTGATACCCTTCGAAAAGGGTTCTGGTGTATGGTATCAATCTGGTGTAAAAACTTTTATGAAATCACTTTTAAGGTGCAAGACCGTTTGTTATGTTTTACCAGTTAGTGTCATATTACTTGGATTGTTAGTCACTCTCTGTTTTTCTTCCATAGTTCACCTTACAGGGCCTTTTCGTCCTAATCAGTTTAAAACAACCAAATTGGTGTGTGAGTCATAGCCGGTTTCAGATCATTGGTGACGACAAAACTCATATGTATTCAGTGAATTCAAACCAGTGATGTGGAATGAGTTATTCGAACACATTTCAAGGTACGGTTTTCACTAGCGCTTTCCCCTATTTCGTATAATTTTAATTATTTTTTGTGTATTTTCAAGATTATCTGAGAGATATTCCCATGGAAATAGGTCGGAAATTTTATCCGCCACCACTAATCAACTTACCTACACTCATACTACCTGAACCATCGAAGAGTTTTCAAGTGAGTTAACTATCTCAGCCCTTTCATTTACTTCTTTTTCGCTGAAGTGTTCTGGAACATCATTCTAGACTCCGTTGGTAATCGATAATACTAGAATATCTTATATGATACTATTGGAACAAACGATCTGCTGTTAATTGTGTGTAGGACTGTTTTTTTTTNTTTTTTTTTGTAAAGCGATGCCAGTTAGGCCGGAGTTCTTCTTAAATTGGGTGTAACCATGTCGACTGCATAGCTCAATAAAGTGCCTCATTTTCGGTCATTTGTTCCTCTGACTGATAAGTTTCTGTGATCGATGACATTAAGCCATTAATTCAGTGCTGGAATTTCAATAGTTTCAATAGTTTAGTTCGAGAATATGACCGGGTTTTTAGGGTTATATACTTGATTAATGGAATCTGCTTGAAATCGGGCTGTGCCGATATTTTATTTCCCTTCTTCCCTTCCCTTTTTGGTTCAGCGGGAATCTTGCTGCGCTTATTTCGGAGCGTAAAAGAAAGAACATAGTTTCTTCAGAATTCATGTGAAGTTTATCAAATGGTCGGCATATTTTTAGTTGATGTTGATGTTTACACTGTTATTTCCAGTATGCATTCGAGGCGGAGAAACGTGCTCGTCAACAGTTCGACGAAGCGAACAACGTGAAATCGGATCCGAAGTTTGAAAACCCTCAAAAAAATCCCGTTAATGGGGTGGCTTCTTCAGATTTGCACTCCTCCGCAAGTACACCGATCACGAACGTCAGTTTATTTCTATCGAAAGGATTCGAATCTTTTTCTCTTTGCTCTGCTATCATGTTTCTGATCATGTGCAATGTTTTGCATATATCCTTCATGATGATTGCTTCTCATGACAATATCTCCATCGTCCGGGTAAGCAGTATTGTTTAAGGAACTCCTATTACCTTGTGCTGCTCCTCCTGCAACAACGTCTTTGCCACAAACGCCAATCCCTGCACAAAAACCAGTCAGCTTTGAAGAGTTTGAAGGACGGGGCACTGTTTTTGACGAAGTTGAATGGAGAAGTATAGACGACAAATTGGCGCTAAGTCAAGTAAGGCTACATTCTTCCGAAAATTCGATTGGCTTTGGTTATCTCTCTGAATTTTATCTGTTTCTTCAGATTCTTGGAAATGTATCGTTGCAAGCGTCCAAGTCTGTTGATAATGCGGTCATGTATTCCGGCAATGACCAGAAACCTCCTCATTCGTTAACAAATGGAAGCAAATCAGTGGCCATTCCAGCTATTCCTCCTTATCCTGTGCTCGAATTCGGGGTTCGTTGATCGTTTACAGACTAGGCCGTCTTGTTTAAATTTTTCATACCCTCCCTTTCCAATGTAACTTTTCCAGAGATCGAAATCGGAAGAGCCAGCAGTAATGCTTAACGCAGTAGGCGAAGTACCTACTGCCGTTTATAAAAAACCATCTCATTCAGGTGCGCCATTACTTTTGCGATTTATTCGATTGTTTCACACGATAATGTGCAAAGTTCACGAGCTTGCGCTCTTTTGCGCTCAGTTACGCTTTACAAGTTTTTGTGAGAGTTTTGTTATTAAGCGTCTGTCAAAGAGATGCCATCAGCAGTTGTACATGACTCACCATTACGAGTCCGACTACTGACGAAAGGTTATCGACCAAATCTTGTTAATGTGGCATTGGAACGGTTACCTAGGGAACGATTGCCATATGTGAGTAAGGTTTCCACAGTCAGTTTTGTATATTTATATCGAATATGTAGTATGTATCTGCTGCATACACTCTGTTCTTAATTGGCAAATGGCTCGAGGAACTCCAGAGTTTTTGTTCAAAGCTAGTGAAAAGTGAAAAACGATGTGTTTTGCATACTATTCTTTAACGAGCATTTCCTTTAGAAAAATTTCCGTACATTTATCACGGATTTCGATTTATTCGTTCTGCTAAGCCTAAACTAATTTCGTCACATTGGGCATTTAGCAAATTTACCACAACACTCCCAGTAAGATGCAACGCTCGTTTATATCCTACAAATTGATGGAACATTTTCTTTTTAGGTAGAATATTATATGAAAGGTATGAGCATACTGGAGAAACGAGGTGTTGAAGTTGAAAAGAGTGTGACGTTTTTGTTGGATAGCAATTTATCAGAAAAACAGGTTTGTTTATGTTTTCAATAACTATGCTTGGTACTATTCATTTGGTATTTTGCAATCGATCATTTCATCGTGGCAAAGCTGAAGCTTGTTCTATTGAATCTTTTTTCTTTTTTTTTTTGGACCAGCTTCTTTCATTTTGAAAGGGAGCCAATAACTAGCTTATAATTATGTAGAACTTATTGATTATACTTCTTCGGAATTCTCCAGGCAACTTCTTTTTTTCAAACTTAGTCTCCGATTTTGAGATGGGGAATTTGATTGGGGAGGTTAAAGCTAGACTTTGGTTTTGCCTCAAACATACTTACAATATTAGTAGTAAGACGCTTCCCATCGATCTTATTTTTGATTTTTGATGCTATCCCGGTTTCATTTATTCTTAAATCGCCGTGGAGCAAAATCAGACTTCATTGTACTGCATGTGTTTTGGACAATACTGTATCAAAGGGTGCTTTTATTTCTCCTATTTCTTAAACTGGCTGAAAGTAGCATAGCTTAATCAAAGAAATTTGCCCTTTCCACGCCTTCTTTTGGAGGAAGGGTAATCAAATTCTGGCACTGGTTATTTCCTCCTCTCTGCTCCGCCTTTTAAAATCGCTATTCCTAAGTTTGAGATTGGGAAACAAAAATGACGGTGAAAGCATTTATTTGTATAGCGATCTTTAAAGGCAAGTAAATGAGTTTGTTGCACAATTTTCCAGTTTTTCCGGCGATTCGTCATTCCCCTGAACTATTAACTGCGCGGTGTACATTTAGCTATCGAATCTATTTTTCCAAGTGTAAACAAACAAAGTAGCGTTCTTCCCGTTCCACCCCGACACTCCGTCGTCCTAGTATTTGCTGATATATATTCGCTTGATGTTGCGGCGCGGTGTCGGCTAATCTGCAAATACTAACAAGCTGCTATGCAAATGACATTGGTGTCGTCTCATTGTGTGCACTTGGCATATCAGTGTGAAGCCGGCAGGTCATGCTAATGGATCGCCGCTCTCGTTTGATTAGGCT